TTTCTGTAGATAATGAATTACATGCCGAGTTTCTCATAGGAGCCACAATCCTATAGTGTCTTCCTGTCATGCACGTACCAAGGTGCTTCTTTTTATGTCAAGATATTGAGTACCTTTTATCTCAGTTGGTCTAATCAGGAAACATAATGAAGTTTGCTTCAGTGCAATTGCTTTCAAGTTCAATTTAATTTTTATGTTGCTCATTATATTTTAGACTTGAAGGGGGTTTGTGTGCCTAAAACTTACAGGGTTTTGCCACCAGTATCAGTTGGTTTAGTAAAAGATAATATACTCCTTCCATAAACATTGCCTTACTTAGATTTTTGTAACATTTTGGTGCTGAATTCCCTTACAAAGTGGAAATAGTGTGGTAGCTTGAAATATGTATTTTTAAAATAAGACCGTTATATTTTTAACTCTGTCTTCTAAGTGAGAAAATAGTGCCACTTTTGTAATAACAACATAGCTGTAAGTGCAGAAGTTGCCAGAAGGAAATCTAGACTCTTTGGCAGTAGCACACAAGACAGTTGGGAGCTTTTCACACCTGGAATCTGTAAGTGGTGATGAGTATTTTGGCACCCAAGAGCTTGAGATAGGAAAACCTAAAATGGCATTGGTTGTATGTTAAATTTTTTAAAAGATTTTCTTCACAACCAGTACAGTTGGAGATTTTGGTTGATGTCTTAAATTTAGTTTTCTCATTGACGTGCTGAATGATGATTTTCAGGACCTCAGCTTCTAACTAATGTATTTAGAAAATATTCAGCTTTCTAGTTTGGATATTCAAATAGACACACTTAAAACATTTCTAGTCTCAGAATTTTTGAACATGCTTCTTAGCCTAAGAAAGCAGACTTTACCATAGATGTAGTAGCATTAGGACCTTTGAACATTCCCTGCACTGATTTTCTCTTTATGCTGACTTGTTAAACTTTTCTTTGTTCCTTTAAGTTCTTCTGGTCAAAAGTAGCAAGTACAGAAGTGTAAAGCAACTTTGGTAGATTCCAGTTCATTTACTAGTTTTTTAATGAACTGAAGGCAGGTAGATAGAGCTCCTAATAGCAAAAGGTTGATATTATTCCAGAGGGGAGGCAACAGGACATATATTTCTACATTCTGTGGAATAGAAGAAATCTTCTGTTCTTACTTGCTTTGTCCTGAAATTTACAGTACCTCCAGTTAGCCAAAATAGTCTGTACTACTTTCTCAGCTTTAGATCTGAGTTTAAACATCAACAAAGGCTGGTAAGCAGAGATTGGCTTCAGTTTAGGACCACTTTTAAAGACATTATATACATGCACACAAATGAGATAAAATAATTGTCTTTGCTTGCTGAGCTATTGGTTTTTACCAAGTTGACTTTTTTTTTTTTTTCCTGGAAATTTTGCACTGTGTTTTTCTAATAGCATATAATCTTTTAGTGTACTTGGTTTGGGTAAATGAAATAAATTTTGTGGGGATGATATGTAGTTAAACACAGTTAGGTGGATAGGAGAGTTTTAAATAATGGATGCTGTTAGTGCTTGTATCCAGAATTTAATATTGTACAAACCCTGCTTTACCTGTTCTTATATTATGCTGTGATCAGTTCCCAAGCAAAGACTTATGTTATGGAACATAGTCTGTACTCATTGCATTGTCCTAGTTATTCCATGACCTGTCACTTGGAAATAAATTTGACAGAGGGCTGATTGCCTTTAACTGTGATAATTCTGTTATCTTACACGTTTCCTCTGATCTGATAAACTGGTCTGATAAAGACACTGATGAATTGATAGAATTTTATGAGATATATTGCAATTAACTGTTAAGGTCGTTAGAGAACACATCAGAGCAATGAAACCCAGTCTAGATCAGGTTGTGAATAAAGGCTTTAAAGAAATCACATTCTTGCAGCAGTGCCTGAGTATAAGCATGGAGGTGTATAAGCATCTGTAAGAGTTGTGATTTAGCAAAAGTATAAAACAGCTTCAGACTTAAATTAGGGCAGTAAGACTATCGCAAAGAAATAAAAAAATTATCTTTTCTCTATATTGGGTATTGGTATGATCGAGTGTAATTCAGTGTTGATATCTAACTCAATATTGCTGCCCATACCAGAAGAAAAATGTGGAGCGAGGAGAGGATATTCAAAGGAGGACCACATAAAAGACCCATGGGATAGGAAGGAAGGCTTAAAGCTTAATTTGTTAATTTCGAGGAGGTTAAATGTGTTTAGATGCTTAAATGAGGTGAAATTACTGGGAATGGAATTTGGTTTCCAAAACTGTAACAAAGTCCTGTGGTGAGAAACTAAAATTAGACATACTGGAACACGTTACCAGTGAAGACAGGGGACTCTTCATCATTGGGACTGTTACATTAGTGAAGAAATGAGGCCTGATCAGGTAAAAGTCTGGGCTAATTTCAAGCTTTTTGGCCTTGAAATCTGTGACTGAATCTTCCTGCTACTTATTCTTGAAGAAAAGAGTATTCTTTGAATTAACCTTGATGTGTTTGTAGAACTTGTGTTTTTCAAGTAAAATAGTGCTTGCGGTTGATTATTAAGCTTCAGGAGGTGTCTAGCACCTTGCCTTCAGGGACTCAGGAGACAACTTTTCTCTCCTGTGCATGACAGTTTAATGGGTCCTGGGGTTTTGGTGCTTTGAATACTAGTAACTGATGATACAGAATAGATTTTATTGCTTTGTAATGATATAGGATGACAAGAGATTTAACAAAGAATGAGTGTATTTTAATAGCATTGAGGAATTGTGTATAGGTGAAGATTTTGTTATCCTGGCCTTGCAGATGTTATCTACAATAATATGGTATTTCTATGATAATTTTTAAAGTATGGGAGTGTTCTGTGGATATATGTATTGTAGCATTGCATTCTGGGCCAGTTACTGATGCTCTCTTATTGTGTTCAAGAATGCATGAATGAATAGCTCTCAGAAATGTCTCTGAGCTGTGACTATAAACTGTAATTTGAAATGTATTTAAAAAAAAAAAAGTATCAAATCAGGTATCTGGGCAATGCTGATGGTATTATCAAAAAGCTCTGAATCCACTGTTGTCATATCTTTGCTTTAATAAAGCATCTACTTTTCCTACAGGTGATTAATTTTGCTCATATTTGAAAGCTTTAGTAAAACACATATTTGTCAATTTTAGATTTTGCTACAGCAAGATCAATCTCCCTTACTTTCTTTTAAGCAGGTGTCAAAAAAAAAAAAACAAACCAAACACCTTCAAGTCCCAAAATAGGAGTAAGCATATTACTTAGTGAAGACCACCATCTACTTCGATGTAACTGAGGGGTGGTGGAAGGGGAAGCAAAGATTTGAATAAATCTAAAAATCACTGTATATGCTGCAAGCATGTAATTTTGGAAACAGACCTTTTTCCTTTCATTAGTTGCATTTCATTTTCTCTTTGACTTACTTAGTTCCTGACTGTGTTATGGTAATTCTGTTAGAAAGGCCAGTAAATATGGTCAGTGGTTAGCAATGTTAAGGGTGTTCACATCAATGACTGTAGTTTTCTTTAGAATTTTGACCTTATCTTCAGGGAGAATCCACCAGCACCGGCAGAATTTAAATTGGTTTAGTTCAACTTGATTAAATTGCAGGGTGGACACGATTACTCAGAATTTGCAATCTTAATTTAGTTTATCTTCATTTGTTTGAATTAAACCAATTCAGACTACATATTCTGAATGAACACTCTTCTACAGGGATGTAATCCTCTCTAATTTGGTATAAATTTAGATCTTCAACTGATCCAGATTAATTTTTCTCCAGAGGGGATTGTTTTGTTTGGAGTTGGTTTAAATGTCAGAATTTACAATTGAAGCAAGAAAGACGTAAATGAAATACGAAAAATAAATATGAAAGAATGTGAAAAAACCACCACAGTTACTGTCATGTCAAGTGAACATCTGTCTTAAAAGCCAGGTTGTTCAAGCAGCAGATTGTTTTGTAAAAAGCATAATTTAGCCAGCTTGGCATTTATCCACATGGAAGGGCATACTGTTAATTTAAATCAGAATGGCTGTACCAATTTTGCATACCATTTGTGTGTTGATTCGGGAAAATTTTTCACTTTTAGTTTACGCTATTTTGGAGTGATAGAAATAAACCCAAAGCAAATATGTTTTTGAAGAGTCTTATCAGTGTATGAGAGAGTTTATACAAAGAGTTACACTTATATGGTTATACCCATGTAACACATAAGCACAATTGTAGAAGAGTTTCAAACAATTGAAAATAAGCTTTTAATTGGTTGTGGTAGTTGCTGATGGGAGCTGTTATGGGTGGATTAATCTCCAAAAGACAAATTTTTATATTGCTGTATAAAATTCAATTTAGAGATGATTGCCTAAAGCCAAAAAAAATAAAAAATTAAACTGATACAATTACACAAGACAAGTTGTTTTTTTTTTCCTTTAGCTATTTGTACCCTGACATAAACCAACAAAATTGTACTTTAAACATATTTAATCATAAGTAACCCTAGCTATGTGAAATGCATTGTAAAATTTGGAATAGTCTGTATGCAGTGCAAGAACTTCAATTACAATTCCAATTTAAGTATCTATTTTTAATTTTCTAATTTTTTGGTTAATTTTACTTTAAGCTTATTATTATATATTACTATTAATTATGTAACCAACTATTTAGTAAATTATTAATTAGATTTTTAAAGTTGTTGTTATTAAAATTTAAATGTAATTATAATTTACAGCAATTTGAAACTGCCTGCAGAATGTGGCTGAAAATTTTTATATTCATTGCTACGGTGCTGAGATGGGGTTTGGAGGTTTGCGAGAGAGCTGGTTAAAAAAATAAGGAAGTATAGACTTGAATTTCTTTCTCTACTGGAAGTTGTTTGGCTAGAATCCCAACACTATGGGTTACAAACACCAGTTAGGGTGCAAAGTGAGAAACACAACTGTTGCTGTAGTTCATGTTACGCAGTTAATCACTGAGATCCCATGTCCTGCTCTGTTTCTGCAGTCGCTGGTTAAATGGAAGCCACTCCTGGGATCTGGATGGTTTCTACTGACATAGACTTTGTGTAGCAGCTCCATCGCGTCAGAGGGTTGCAATGAGTGGAGGAGGGGAGCAGCCTGACATCCTCAGTGTGGGAATCTTGGTCAAAGAAAGATGGAAAGTGGTGAGTATACCTTCCTGCGATTCTTTTTTTTTTTTTTTTTTTTTTTTTTTAAACGTATTTTTAAAAAGAAGTAGTTTGCACTTTGAAATCTGTTTCAAAATTCTTGTGAGATGTATTTTGCTTCATACTGATGTTAAATGGTGAATGGACTTTAAAGACACTTGTTTCTCTTATCCTACTTTAAAAGGAAGTTATATGGATTTAAGGTGGGCTTTTTTTCTGGTAAGGACCTAGGAAAGCTTTTAAATCCAGATTTAGTGCCTGTTCAGAGCACAGCTGGAAGAGTCCTGTTAGTATATTAAATCCAATCAGCCGGTGATTATGTCAGTCTGTTTTGGAAATCAGTCAGGCACCCTCTTGAAACTAGTCAGATTGTGAGATTTGTTACTTCTTATAGGAAGATCTTTCGGGACCTTAGTGCTCTTCCAATTAGAAATGATTTTTGTTTGTTATTTTGTAGCATAGATTTATTCCTGTCTGATTATTTCTATTTGATTGTGTGCCAGTATTGGCTTTACCATAAATAGCTCTGTTCCCTTTTGGTGTTCATATCCTTGATTTACATCTAGAGGGAAATAGTATCCATTTGAAACTATTTTTGCTGGGAAGAACAGGCTGATGTCTTTTAGTTCTTCTCCATTCCCTTGATCACTTCAGAATAATTTTGCTTGTGGATTTTTTTGAGATGGGGGGAAAAAAAAAGGGCGAAAAAAGCACCACTTCATAATAGAACATTTTGGGGGTCTCTGTGTGTTTAGTAGGCTGTGGATGGATACTGAATCACTATTTTTTGCACCATCTTTGCTTTATATTACTCCCATATGTCAGTATTTTAGTTAGAACTGTGAGAGCATAAAAGATACAGATTCATCATTCCTTTAAAATTCATACAGAGAAAATAATTTCAACTACCTTGTGCCCTATCCTTCATTTAAAAATGCAGGAAGCTGATACTAGCTTGTGTGGGAAACCCTTATATATCATTTTGTGTAAAAAGAACCTAAACATCTATCTTTGGAGTATAAGTATTTGTAAAATATTTTCTTATATTGTATCTCAGTGTTGCAGTAAAGTAAAAACTGAAAGCATAGTCTTGAATCATATCAAATAGAATAAAATAACATTATAAATAGATAACAGTATGCTAATATATCACTACCCACAAGTCACCCAGTTGTCTGATATGTGCAACAGTAATCCTGTTTTCTTCAGGTTTATTTTCTTTCCTTTGTAATGAAGAATGATGATCAGATTGGTGTCTTTTGGAAAATTTGAGAGTAGGCTGTTGTTCATTTCATGTGATTATACATTTTAACATGTATGTTTTCCAGATCAAGTATTACAGGTAGATGAGTGTCAAATATGGTCTGTGGATAACTCTTTAATTTCTTAACTTCTGTAGCAAACATTAAGGATTTCTTGATGTCATCTAAGGCGATATACTTCCTTCTGAAGTCAGGATGTCATAAGACAGTCTGCCAGCGGAAGAAAATAGCATGCAAATATTAGAATTTCCTTAGTGCTTGACATAAATAATATCATTCATACTGTTCTGTTAGGTTATGAAGTATTGAAGTTTTTTGTTAGTGTTCTTGAAGCAGTAGAGTACTTAAAAATTCCTTGTGTAGAAAGATGAGGTGATATAAGCCAGTGGACTTTTAAGTTGTGGTGACAATGAGTGCTGTTCCTAATTATCAGTAGTACTTCTGATTGTTCCTTGTGGAACTCTCCCAATATCCTGCTTGCTTCCCCCCCCCCCCCCCCCCCCCCCCCCCCCCCCCCCCCCCCCGAAGAATGGCAGTGCTGTAGTATGACTGCATGAGATTTTTGTTTTTTTTTTTTTTTCTTAAACTGGTTACAGCAAAATAAAGTACACAATCTGGAAGTTATGTAAAGATTTGCAGCTGAAATGCAGTTTTCAGAATTCTTGCTGTTCAGGACCTTGGTCTTTGTAATTGTGAAAACATACCTGGAATTTGTGGACATGAACAATTTCAAAAACCATGCTCAGTTAAATTTAATTTTAGCCTAGGTGTTCTTTAAGGTGGTACTATTTTGAAAAGTAAGCATAGAAGAGTCATTGTAAAATATTTTTTCCTCAGTGACACTCTCCCTTTCTACTGGTCTCTGTATCTATTAGCATTTGCTTTCATCCTCTGTCGATGCCTTTTCTCATCCCTCCTTTTTGCCTTTGAAACATGTAGTACAATCCTAACTTGGAGAGACTTGATTGTAATGATAATTGGCTTTAGGTAAGTTTAAGAACATTCAATATGCAGTGTAAGAGAAAGTACCAAGATAAAACATGTTGGAAGTGGTATGCTTTAGACTTGAAGCATACAAAGAGATAGGAGTTGAAGGGAGAATGGAGAGAATGAGTTTGGGGTGTGGGATGCTGAATGCAAAGAAGAGAAGCTTGAAAATAATGTGCAAAATAGGAGAATGTGGTGTAGGTGTAAATTAGGGCAACATGGTCCTTGTCAAGGTAAAAGATGTTGAGCAGGTGTGGCAGGAGGCCAGAATGGTTGAACAGTCAGTTCCTGTCTGAACTCAAAAGCAAACAGAAAGTGGAAAGAGGAATAGTTTGCCTTAATATGGAGTGTGTTGGTATGAGTGTATAGGGAAAACCAGAGCTCAGCTGGTGGTTGAAACTGGTGAGGGATGTGAAAAGTGATGAGAAAGGCTCTTACAGGCACATTGGCAGCAAAAAGACCGAGGAAAACATGGGCTCATAGCAGAATGTGGTGTGTAACCCAGTGACAAAGGTCATGGAAAATACTTTTTCTACAGAGAGGTTCATTTGTGCTTGGAATTATTGACTGGTGTCATTATTGGATGTATGTTAATGATTCTGGTGTACTCTATCTGTGGATAGAAATTGATCTGGTTTATTAGTGTGGTGGTATGTTTGGTTTTGTTTGTTTTTTTTTTTCTTGTTTTTTTTGTTTGTTTGCTTTAAAAATTTTTTTTAGCACACAATCAGAGAAGAAACAAGTGTCAGAGACAGTCTTTCTCAGTCTAACCATTTATCGAAGCTGGTAAATGAATTTATATGATAAACTACTGTAAGCTTGTATGGGGTGAGGGTGGCTCTGTCACCTCTCTCCTTTTCCCCTCTCACCTTTTTCACTATGCATTCTTGCTGTCTCCCTTGCGCCTGTACTATGCTGAAAATTTGTGTGCTTATGCTGAAACCTACAGTCAGATCGATGTCTATGTTGAACTGTTGGAGACCTGTTAATAGCTCAGAGCTCACACAAGGTAATGGCATTACCAAACCAAGAGGTGGAACAGAAAAGTGCAGACTTAAAATAGCGAAATTAGTCACAAAGCCATATATTTGACAGATATGCATAGATACACACACACTTTTTAAAAAATCTATATGCATATTTATAATCCTGTTAAAAGTTGCTTTATTTCCCAATATCTAGATGACAGATCTCTTTCCTTTCTGTTAGGACTAACGCTCTGCAAATATTAAATACATCTGAATGTAATCAAGCTATATTGATTATTTCATTGGAGTTGAAAGGTTTCTATTTCTCATGGTTTGTCATTATTTCAGTTAACCCTAAATTCTTACCTGAGTAGTACCTTAAACAAGTCATGTCTGAAGATGCAAACTTCTTGAGGATTTGCGATACTCTGTACTTAAACTTGTTAAATTCTTGAAACGTGTAGGTTAAAGAGTAACAGGCTTAAGCCTGTGTTGGTAGTATGCATGTTACGTGCTTCAGAGAAAGTATACGGACTGTGGAAAAGAGGTTGCATTTGCTAACAGCTAGTGTGCTGGTTAGAAAGAAATGAACATGTGGATTTGCAGTCAGCAGGTGTTGAACTAGAAGCAGATGTTCAGGTGGGTTAATTCTGTTGGTCTGGAAATGTGGTGTGCTGTCTGTCCTATGCACCTTTTCAAAACAAGCAACGAATTGGCCAGAAGCGAGTAATGTAGATAATGCAATGTATGTATCTTGGACCATATTTTCCTCATTCTAAAAATATTGAAATAGCAGTTGCTTGTGGTGGTAAAAGATCTTCAGGACAGAAAGTGCATGATGAAATACTGAGTAATGTAATTATACAGAATAAAAATTTCAAGTGATATGACTTGAAAAATGCAAGTAAACAATATGAGTATTTTATCTGTTACCTTCTTCCTTATTCTTAGGGGCCTAGGCTATTTTCAAAGTTGTTTTTCCTTCTCAGTCAGATAGCTGATTGTCTGGATTAGGAGACATTAGATTTATTTTCAGAATCTGAAGGTAGGTCAGCATATTGCTCATCTCTAGAACCCCGGAATGTTTAGGTGACATTTAATACAGTGTAGTTGTATAACCTTAGCAACTATGTGCTTTCAAATGACATTTAAAGAAATATGTCAGTTCTTTCAAGGTAAAATATAGTAAAAATAGAATATTGTGTGTTTCTTAGGGTAAGTAATTTTTGTCTCATTTTCTCTTTTATCAGCTTTAATGGTAGCTACAGGGGAGATTGCCATATGAAAGCATTACATGAAATAACATTGACGTTTTTGATACTGAAAACTAGACAGGTCTCTGTTCCCTGTGAACAGTTAAAGCAGATTGAAAATGCAGCAATTAATAGTTGCTCTGAATGCAGTGCAAAGTAATTAATATGCCAGAAGCATTCTTTTTATTTCTTCCTAACACAGATGAAACTTTCAGTGGTGCAAGTTTCTTTAGTATGTCTTTTAATAAGAATGGTGAACCATAAGTAAATGTGAGTAACATTTAAAATATGTGTTCAAAGATAATCTTAGCCATTTCTTATAGTTTATGATTTAGCTGTTATGTGTAAGTCACTGTATGTAATAGAAAATGCTGTCTCTTTTCACTAAGTCCAAGGAGTTTTATATCTTTAGTATTCAGTGTGCATATTTCTGAAAAAAGAAAAAGATGGCATATTTTTAAAATGTCACTGTGCATTTGTATTTGAAGGTCTCTAGGTAGTATGTGACTATTTGAGGAAAGACTTTATTCAGCATGCTGACTTTGGTCAGATTCATGCTGGGAATGCTAGTGCACTCTTCTGTTATATTATATACAAGAAGTTTGGTGCAGATGGAGAGCAGGTGTATTAACTTGTTTTCCTAGGATTCTCTTCTAAACTGTGGTTAACCATACCTTTGTAGATAATTCAGTAGCTCTTTTACATACTGAAGGATATGATTATCTTATTTTAAAATCTGTTAGTAATACAACAGCATTTGCAGTATGGCAGGCAGTAGAAAGAAGCATTGATGGTTTATTTCCTTTCTTTTCTTCTCCCCTCTTTTAAATCTGTTTTTGTTTTTGTTTTTTTTATTCTCCCCCACCTCATGAATATAGTTGAGGAAAATAGGAGGCGGAGGATTTGGAGAAATTTACGATGCACTGGACTTGCTTACTCGGGAAAATGTTGCACTGAAGGTCGAATCAGCTCAGCAGCCAAAGCAAGTGCTGAAAATGGAAGTAGCTGTGTTGAAGAAATTGCAAGGTAAGGCTGTACCCTGGATATGCCAGAAGTAGAATGTCAGTGTATCTGTCTTCTTAAAAAATCATTATAATCTCTATTTAGTCATAGTTTGAGTGAATATTCCCCATATTCTGCAGGTTATTGCTGAATGGTTATTAAAAGTGGAATAGAAGCTCTTTCAGCTTCTGAAAGTTTTGCTGCAATGAACCTTTTCTTTGAAACAGCATGACATGAAAATAAAAAGAACAAGAAAAAGATTGAATTGCTGCAAAACCCATGCTCAGCTCTAGTTTATTCTGGATCCATATCTTCTCTTTACCTTTTTTGCTTCAGAATTTGTTGTTAGCTTTTTATTTCCCCTTCTAAGATGGTCTCTTTTTTTCTTCACTATCTAGCATTGAGTATTTGTGGGTCCTTCACATGGCATCCAGGATATGAATATTTGTATTTTTTGCCTTTGCAAGTATTGCCAAGAATAATGCTGATGTTGAAATGGGAAACATACTTCAAAAACCCCACACACAAACAAACAAAAACCAAACTTTAAAATACTGTAACTTGTAGAAATATATTATTGGCATGTAGAGTCCTGAAATACTTTCAGGGCTCAGGTCCTTGATCATTCAGAATCACACCTTTGGATAGTCACTTTTGATGTACCTTTAACTACTTTAATGTCTGAAGCTATCGATACAGAGAAATACGGAAGGGCTTCTCTTCATTGATTTTCACAACATGAGATTATAAAAAGAAGGTTTAAAGAGTGACTTTTTCTTTAAAAAATATATTTTGAATCTGGAAGATTTTGACTAATACATCCATCCCTATCAGCAGTATGACTATTCCAAACTCTTAGTTTGAATAAAACAAAATCTGCATGACATATGGTGCTGCCTAATCTGCTGTAAAGGTCACATTGCAGCAGAAATTGACAGCCTCTATAGATTGAAGAGGCCAAGCATGTCATGTGTTACAGTGTTCACACATTGTTCCTATGTTTATGTCTTTTTAAAGAATGACACAAAAACATCTAATATTATACAGTTGAGCAAGGAGATTCAGGGACTGCATATTAGCTTTCTTTTGAATTTTAGAGTTTCTTGAGATGAATAGTAAATTTCTGTATTACCAACCATAAATTTAGAAACCATTTGTCAGGGTTCTTGAAAGAAATGATGTTAAAAGATAGTGAGTTTTGAAGAAACAAATACTCTGTAACTCCTGGGTTTTTATATTTTTGAAAACCAGTAATGTTTGCTGAAATAATAAAAAACTGATTTGTGAATAATTGCCATAAAGCCTTGCAGAAGTTATAATTCTCTTATCAGTCTTCCTCTGGGATTATAATTCCTTTAACAACCCAAGTCTTCCTGCAGAAGAGTCTTAGGTTCTACTGAATCATGGGAAATGCTGTCTAGATGAAAAGAATAGAATAATGGAACACCTGAGCAACAGATCCACTGAGGCAAATAATCCAAATAATGTATAATCCAAGTAAAGATCTTTCAGTTATTTATTCTCAATATTATTTCTCTGAGAAAACAATAAGCAGAAGTTTTTTATATAACCAGAACCCTGATTTTGTATGAGATCTTTAGAAAGAGCTCTTTTGACCACCTTCCTTATGAGAAAACAATCTAAATAATATTCGTTAATTTTAATCTCCTATTATTCTCTTGCACAGTTTAAAAAAGAAAAAAAAAGTCAGTGATTCCATGATAATAACACTAGAGGTGACCTTTACTCATTGCTGTGCAACTTCCACATTACAGTGTAACTGCTCTTGTTTTAGATAGGGAATGTTCTAGATGATCGGGAAAGTGACTGCAGTAAGAGATGGGTCAAGGGTGAACCTTTTGCATATATTGAGATTTATAGTTTGCACAGAGAGGTAACTTTACATGCATATATTTTCATCAATACTTAGAGGATTTTTATTAAAGAAGATTATGGTAGAGACCATTTCATGTTTTACATGAAATCTTGGTTCCTAGGAGCTATTTCCATTAATTTTTCTACCTTACTAAGTTTTTGGTATGCAAGAGCTAAAAATTTGAGGCAGAGAGAAAATCAAGAGAAACGGACAAAAATGGGGAGTAGAAAACAAATTTATCATTGCTTCCTGGAGAATATTTTTTATTAAATGCTTCATTTACCATGCGGAAATTTTTCTTATTTTTGGCAAGTGTTTTTTCATGCAGATGCAGAACAGGTGAAACTGTAAATAGTTCTTTTAGGATATTCTTGTAACAACCTTTGAATAGCATACATCCTCTGAGACCAACTTTTATCTTGTTCTTCTATCCCTTTTTGGCATGTGTGTGTGTGTGTGTATATATGTATGTATATAATAACTATCCTTGTCTCAAAGGGTTATAATTACTGTCCTTTTCTCAAAGGTTCTCTTACTTTCAAGGTGTTCTAGGTACCTTGGATGTAAATCAGAGGAAGGAATGTAATTGCCATGAAAATCCTTTTTCTTGCAAATATTTGGAAAGTTTGATCTATAAATAGTATGTAATGACAGACAGTGAGCTGACAATGACATTCAGAATTTTCTTGATGTGTGGATCCGATTTTTTTTTTTTTTTTAAATCATTATCATGTACTATTTCTGGGAAAATTATGAAGGAACAGGCTTTTAGGAAAAAAATAAATAAACAGGTGTAATAGGTCTCAAGCCAGCAAAACAGCTCTTCCAGTGTTTACTAGAGCTAAGCACGTTCTTGAGGTTATAAACAAGCTTTTGAGTGTTTCTGTATTAGAATCTTATTTCACAGAAACTGTGAAACTGAAATGAGAATAGCTGTTGGCAGAAGTGCAGAGATGTACTACTTGTATTATTTTTGCTTTCAGAAATTTTGAATATTAAAACAGTGTGGTCATTCATTGCAGAGGTGAAATGAGCCATAACTTTGTAGTTATGCAGCACAGTGAATGATGAAAAACTTCAAAGATTCTCTTTTGAGACCCAGTTCTAGCAAAACATGCTTAAATATGGGAGTAGTTGTATGACTGCTCTCTTAATTATGAAGGAGGAGTATGTTCACTGATAAGACCATTTATTACAGCTTAATCATCAATTGCCTCTTTGATTTTATTTTATTTTTTTTCGTCTGTCAATGATGCTGTCTCCTAATTATTGTTGTCAGGATACTGTTTAACTCTTTAAGCTCTGGTTTTGGTTTGTTTTTTTTGTTGTTGTTGTTTGGGTGTTTTGGTCTGTGTGTTTTTTTGTTTTTTTGTTTTTTTTTAAATCTGCTGCAACAGATGGTTGTTTTGTTTAATCATGTTGTTAGGCCATCTGTTTCCACAGTCAGATGGGAGCAGACAGATTTATCACATCTCACTCAGTGAAAGTGAGACTCACTCAGTTGGTTTCTGTCTCTCACAACCTTACGGACATCTCCCTCACTCATTTACAGCTCTCTAGCATAATTTCGTGATGGGCTGTGTCTGGTGTAGGCTGAAAAGCTAGCTGTAGTGATGCACTGCAGCCTGGGGAATGGCATGTAGGCTTCATACCCTCCCTAGGAAGCTTCTCAAGGGTGTAGTTCTTCACTGCAGCCTATTGCCATCTTCTCCCCCTGTTCCCCAGCCCTGTGGCTCACAGGTACAAGAAAGTACTGTTTTTTCATTGAAGGAGAAGGAACTGAAGGGATCTGCAAAGGTGTAGTAGGTGCGTATAGCCACACTGGAGTGGCGGAGGATCATGCTATATGAATAAGGTGTACAGGCCCTACTTCTGTCCTTTCCTGTTTCCTAAAGTTTTTGTGGAAGTTAGTGTCCAGAGAATTTACCACAGAACTGGACTTGCTTCTCCAGTTAAAATGGAATTTCACTGACCAAACTGAGTTTTGGACATTTACTGAATCTATAAGATGAAATCTGACTAAAATATGTTTCTCTGAAGATGTTCTTTCAGCATACCCACAGTGGCTGTAAAATGAATCGTAAATATTTGAGATGAGACTTCATTAACTGGAAACTGCAGCAATGAATATACAAAATTTAATCTTGACAAATTTGCTGCAGGTCCTTTTTCTTCATAAAATTATACTGTCTGTAATATTGCCTGTCTTACTTAAACAAATGGGTGGAAGGAAAAAGCGGAGGAAAAGCAGTCATACTTACAGTTTAGCACTTACGTATTTGCAGCAGTTGTAGAGATTTCTTTTAAAATAAATTATTTTGATGAATCCTGTACCATTTTCTTTGCTTAAATGGGCCTATGTGTTTTAACTGTATGTGGCAGAGAGCTTCCTGAGGAAACAATAGATAGGCAACCATTCTTCTGCCAAGTGAAGTGAGAATATTCAGAAGCTGTAGGGCTAAGTTTTAGGGCTTTGATAGAGCTATGAGTGCAGCAGTAGCAAAAAGTCCTCCCACATCTGAAGCTAGCAGTAATGGTGTTTTGAAAGCAGTAATGTTTTTTTGTTACTATTTTTTGAATTGCTTTTTTCCTACCACTTCTTTTTTTTTGTATTTATGACATTCTGGTAATCCTAAGGGTAAAGAAATTAATGAAAGAAATCTTAGGTGACACAAATTTTACATAGCTTTAGCAGCTACCTGTGACCATCAGCTTTCTTTTAGTTTTAGCTTCCATGGTGTCAGAAAGGAAGGTAAATGGCCTGAGGGACTTATACCCTACAGTTCCCTGTTTTGTCATAGAATGGGGCCATAAGGGGTCCCAGCTTCTCCCCAAGTCGATGAACACAGATACCAAAATGACAATGAGGTTGCATTCCCCATCTGTTTCCCTACTGCAGTCTTCGGCTTGCCTTTGTCTCTACCTGGGGAATCTTATGCTTTGATTTAGAACTGCAGGATATTAAGGAGATTATTTTTGATCAGCCCTCTTCTGTTCCATAGTTCACTCCTAGGACAGGAGGAGGCTTTACAAAAAATTGGCTTAAACCAAACTGTGATTTTAATTTTTTTTTTTTTTAACTACTACAATTCTTTTATCCTTGATTCAGTGTACCTGAACTGAATTTGTCTTCTGTAGCTAAAGAGCAAATATCATATTCTAGAAAAATATATTCATAACTTGGTTTAGTTGAATTACATTTTCTACAATTTCTTAATATAAAACATGACCCACAGGTAACTACTATTGTTTTCTTTCATCATGGCAGCTGCAGCTTATAGGAAAAGAGTAATGATGTCTAAGAATATTGTATAAAACAAGCCATCAGCTTTACAACAAAATAATCTTTTCCCAATCCAAAATGCCTCAAATTTATGGACATTTAGGTAGGCATGTTGTCATGCATGTTTTCTTACGGAAGAGTGATAGCTGTGGTAGGGCTGCATACGTTATGGGAGAAAACTTTTATTTAATTGAGGGTAGAACTGACATTGGTTTTACAGCTGTTGAACTGTGGGGGTGTGGGCCTTAGTTTATTAAAGATCTCTAAAGAAATATAACTATATCTTCCAGTGATTTGCTATGTATTTAAAGGAATAAACCACATAATTTTATTATTATTGGCTAATTAGCCGTTTTTTTTTTCTCTCAGGAAAAGATCATGTTTGTAGATTCATTGGATGTGGAAGGAACGACAGATTTAACTATGTGGTCATGCAGTTGCAGGTCAGTGTATCACATAGAACTCAAAGTTTACTTGTGTGTTTAGGTTTATTAGCCAAGCATATATGAAAATACCAGTAAAGTTTTAGAGGATGACAGATTAAAAAAACCTCACAGAGATCATGAACACATAGTAATGAGCAAACCTAAATTGAGCATTTCCTTATATCTTTGTCCTTTGATATCCTTTCCATAATTCTCTCAAAGGAGGAAGTTTGCATCCTCAGAAAAAACAGACTATTGAAAGAGTGAACTGCAATGTCTTCTGAGATAATTCACATTCCTTTGAAGTCTTCACTTGAAAATAGTCTAAAATATATTAGTCTGTGCATTTTTTTTTTTAAGTGAAAGTGAAAAAATACGCTTTGCAAGTAAAAGAAAACACTTAATTCACTTTACTGAAAGACTTGTTCCTGTGAAAAGGGATAAAATGGGTGATTAGCACTTACAGTTATGAGATTGTTGTCGTTTATTCCTTGGAAGAAGTGTGCTCTAGTTCATACTGTTGGTCATCTGTTATTTTGACAGACCAACAGTATGTATTTCCTGCATAACCTATTTTTTGTCTGTTTGGTTAAGTCATCTAAGATATACTGTATAATTAAATAAATGATATACTTTCCTTTAAAGAGGTGACGGTAAAGACATCTTTGTGAGCATTTTCTCAGTGGCCTTTTTTCAGGTGTGATGCAGATACAACATTAACTAATAGCGTATGTAATGTACTAGTCTTCTAGTAGAGATTAGTTTGGTCCATGTTATTTAGGAGTAGAAAGATATACTACATTCGTATTTTGAAAAATAGATTCTAAATTTAATGTTGGAGGTACTCAGGGACATATACACAGTCATTTAGGTGAGATGTGTTATCCTTCGATACGGAGATAAGTAATGAGAGTATTCCATGGTTAACCATGCAGCTAAAGAAGAAATAGGAAGACTTTATGCTATCTGTGAATCTTGGTGTAAGTATTTTTTTTATGAAAATATCCTTTTAATTTGTAGGGTCGGAACTTGGCAGACCTGCGTCGGAGCCAGTCTCGAGGAACATTCACCATTAGTACCACTCTGCGGCTTGGGAAGCAGATTTTGGAATCTATTGAAAGTATTCATTCTGTGGGATTTCTGCACAGGGACATAAAACCGGTAAGTCTGACCATTAAATCAAAAGAGGCAAATAATATGTGGTCATTAGATGGCTGCATAAGTAAGAATAGGTTCTATACTAGATGTTAAAATGAAAAAATGAGAAGGAACAGAAATAGAATGTTTATTCATCAGATAGGGCAGATTTTTTTTCTATTAAGTAATATTGGATTGCAACAACAATAACTTTGGTCTTTGTCATCATAATCTCCAGTTACTTAGGCCTCTTTGCAATTTTCTGTAGTTAAAACTTCCCACTCTTACCTGTAGCATCATGCAATCAAGAATATTTGTCACGAGATATTATATAATGAGTTTGGCTAATGGCAATTAATATCTTCATGTAATAAATCTAAGATAATAGATACTAACTGTAGGGTGTATTTATGAGATCTTTCATAGCAATTTTTTTGTATTTAATATATTTATAACAAACAAAGAAAGAAAAGATGGACTGTAAGAGAAAACTATTCAATTGCTTCATTTTGCAATTCTAATAAAATGAGCGTTGTCAAAATGTCATGAGAACAGTGCCTTCCCAATAGCATCATGCTTTTGTTCTTATTACTTTTTTTCTAGTTTTCTTTGAATTTATTCCTGAAATTGCATCATCTGTTTCTAATATTGCTCTATATTAAAAATATCATTAGAACTCTGACCTTTCAAAATTTGTAAATGAGGAAAAATAAACAAATCTTGTGTTTTCTAATAGATGCAAATATGACTGGATGTATCTGGCATATATATAACTAAATTTCCTGTCAGCTGAAGACGTTTACATAAAACCTCTGATAAGTTTGTGTGAATTAGGGAATTTTAATTTTCATCACTTCTTCCTTGCAACTTTTTATAAGACTTGTATTCTCTCTGACCCATCCCCAAGACTTCATTTAACAGGGAAAGGACACAGAGGAGGCAGTGAATGTCAAGTGAAATAGATGAGAAGGAGTTAGCTGGAGTGCAAAATTTCAGTGATGAAAACAAATCAAGTTTTGAATGGGAAATGTATTCCTTTATGCCTGGCAGGATGGATTGGTGACATCTTATTATCTAGCTGTATCTTGGAGTCTGTGGGCTCAAATAAGATGGACATAGAGAATGCTGTTAGGGGATGAAAAAAAACCCCCAAAAGTTAAATGTTTAGCTGGGATAAACAGCAGTGTGAGTCAATATATTAGAATCATAGAAGAAAGAATATTTGTTCCCCTTTAGGAGTTGTGTTATTACATGTTCAAATGAAGGCACAATTGCTTTCTAGCATGCAGTTTTCCTGTCTTGAAAATACAAGTCCATCTTGTCTTTTATTATGTATAGATTATGCTAGAATCAAGCTTTATGCTGAGCTAAACTCTTGAAATCCTTGGTTGGTTATTTGCCTTGTGATGAATTAGGCAATGCTGAAATTCTGTTCCATTTAAAAGTAATGTTGATCAGACTCATTTCAATTCATGGTTTCAATGGATTTTTACCCTCAACCTTTGACATTGAAGCAGCTGTGAATTTCAGATTTATTTAGAACAGTACTGCAAAGTAGTTTTTCTAGAGTTAATTGCATTAAGCTTCTAGCTTACTTAGATGTGTAGTTTCAATTCTATTTCAAAGAACTTGTTTTCAGCTTTATCTTTTTTTATATCATGTAATCCATTCTAAGGAGATTTGGTGGGGAGAGACTTGAACTGATTCAGCCAACATGTTCAAACATCATAAACTAGCAGTGTTGAAGAATTCTTTTTTTTTTTTAAAGGGCTAACATGGAACGTTAATCTGTAGAGGCAAATAAGAAAATTTACTGGAGCTTTTCAGCTCTTACTGTTGGTGGGGTGGTTTTTTTGTTTTTTTTTTTTTTTGTTTTTTTTTTTTGTTTTTTTTTTTTTTGTTTTTTTTTGTTTGTTTGTTTGTTTGTTTGTTTGGTTTTGGTTTTTTTTTAAGAACCCTGATTCTTCCCCCCTCCCATGAAGAGGAAAAGGCAGATTGCACCCCTTATTACGTATTCTGCATGTATGATATTAGTGCATTTGTTTAGATGAACTTGTTAGCCCCTAGTTTGGTAGGTTTTTTTGAAGTGTCCAAATCAAAACATACGAGTGGGTGACACAATTGGGAAATTCTTGTTAAAAACTAATATATTCTAAGTGACAAACTAAGACGACAATCTTTTTGGACCACATAGGCTGCTGTTCAGATATGCCAAGTTGGATATCTGATTTTCTTAACAGTGTTTTCTTAAAATTTAATGGGAGTTTAGTAGAACTGAAAATATGAAAGTAATGATAAAGAAGTAGAATGTGGGTTTTCTGAGATTGTGTTATTGCATTAATATGTGCACATATTGAAATATGTGTGTGTGTATATATCTGTATGTATATCTGTGTTTTTCTTCCTAGTCTAACTTCGCAATGGGACGTTTTCCTAGCACCTGTAGGAAGTGTTATATGCTGGATTTTGGCTTGGCACGGCAATTTACCAACTCATGTGGGGATGTCAGACCAGTAAGATTTTTTCACAGTTGTTAGTTTGATTAATTAAATATGGTAATATGCTGTCTTTTTTTCTGGAGAAGTATGGGAGTTGCATTGAACTGGTAACTGATCTAAACCTGACAAATATCATCTCAACTCAGAAATGCTATGTGATTTATTGACTGTATTAAAAGATTGGCAGTTGGGAATGAATCAGGTTTCTGATTTTTGGCTTGAAGCAGAGGTGTAGTCTATGATATTTTTGGATAATCTGTCTTGGTTTGGAAAAATCAAGCGACAAGTTGGTTTTGATTAAATATCAGAGGAATACATGAGAGCTGAATTTCACTTGGTATTATATATTGCATAAAAAAAAAATCTATGTAGGAGACAGAAGTCAAACACTAAGATGAATATATAATCTTCTGAAAGAGAAAGCATGAATAATTAAAAGAGTAATGGGACGCTAATTATAATATATAACAGGACATAGTTAAGTGTAGTTGCTGTATTCCCATGCGATGCAGTCTGAAGGCAGTTGTAGATAAAAGCATATCAATGAGGACATTGCAATTTTAAGTACAGTAGAGCCTCACTAATTCACTGGCGGGCAGTCCTTCTGTTAATTTCAAAGTTTGAAAATGAGCAAGTCAGTGCCATAGTATATGGTGGTGTTTTAAAGAAATGTATTTTCTTTATTAAATTATCTTAGTTTACATTTTGATGGTAATACTGAATAATGTACTAGTCAATATTGTGTAGGATATTTATTAATGTGAGGTGATTTGAGTGGTAGAAACCATCTCTACAGGATTTTCAGTTTTATTTTGCCTAGGAATTTGGTAAAGTGGCAAATTTTTGTGTGCAAATTGTGAGGTATGTGAATTAGTGAGGTAAATTAGCGGGGTTCTGCTGTACTCTATTCCTTCAGCCATAATGCTGGACACTGCAATGAAAGCAAAGAGCAGGGGAGACCAACATAATGGCTGCTGCTGTTGGAAAGGTGAGCTAAACATTTTAAGTAGTTTTAAATTATTTTTTTATTTCTCAGTGTTTTTGTTGTGTTTTGTATGTTTGGCTGCTTATAATGTTTTTCTAACTGACCTGTAATTTCAAAGAGAAAACAATTCCCAAGATTCTGTAATTTATATATATATATATATATATGCACACACATACCAGTAGTAGTGTTTTCAGAAAAAATAGATGATAACAACAGAAAATTTAATATTTCTGCTATTCTTTCTTCTGTAACAACTCAGTTCTTGCCTTTTGTTTTTCATTGCAGTGCCCTACAATGTAACTGAAGTAATTCTTCAATTTAATCTGTTTAGAATTTTCTGACAGTGTAATTGGTGTTAGTAGAGTGGCAGTGAGGGGAAAAAAGAAGACAGTAGTTTTGTATGTGCTTAATAGCCAGAAATGGCTCTTGTATAGATAGCAACCATACTGTTGGCCTTGCTTACTAATAAAATTTACTAATATTTTCATTAAATGTGCTATGTGCTTCTCCTTAAGGCTATCCTTCTTCTAAACTTCATTAGATTTCTTCAGCAGATACTGCAAATAACCTGGAACAATGTAAAAGCATGTTCTCCAAAAAACATAGTACTCTATTGGTAAGAACCTGTTCCTTAGTTAAGGTTGATTTTTAGATTTTTATCATAAGCCTAATTTTCTATATACCTGACTTCTGCAGAAAGAATCCAGTCCCATTGAGACTTTATGTGTCATCCCTGAGTCCTTGAATTTCCATGTTGTGTTCTAAAAGAATCAGAAGTTTTGGAAATTATAGTATCAGGTTTGGTCCTCTGGCAGCTTTGTATTTTCACCAACATTAAGGAATTTCTTGTGGCCATAAATCTGTTTGTTAACTCAAAAAGATGGAAGAGGCTAATATGAATATGGTTGAAAGCAGGAGAATTTATGATAGGATTGTATTTCCTTCCAGAAATCATTGACCAGCACCACTGGCTGGCATATACATTCCAACAGATGGAGATTAAAAAATGAAGTTAACTTCAAGACTGCTAGAGAAGAAAGGTGGTGTATAGTTCTTTGACAAAATGCAACTTAAACTGGCAAGGGGGTTGAAACAAAAAGGCAATTACAAGAATAAATTATCATCAGTTTTCTAGTATAAATCTTCTTATAGGTGGTATTCACTTGACTGAAGTTCAAACAAGAAGTTGAAAAGAGGTCCTTATGGTGAGGAAGACTGCTTTATTTTTTTGAACTCGGGTCAAGAAGAGAAGAGGAAATGAGAAATTTATCAAACCATTAAGCTACCCACCATTGCACTCTTAGTTAATTCCAGTCCATTGTACCAAGACTGAGGAATGCATCAGAGTTTTATACGACTTCAGTGTGATTAGGTGTTCTTGTTTCAGATCTGTTATAAAAAGAGGAATTATAAAACATGGGAATCCATGGTGTATTCCAGTATTTGACTGAAGTTTGTGCTGGTGGCTACTTATATGTTCAACCATTCATTTGGACCCTTCTGCATTTCTGTTAAGCCTGTGCTTGTTCTAGTCTGAATCTTTTGTTTGATCTGTCCTCTCATGTTTCCTTTTTGTATCTACCTCCTCATAATGCTTCGCTTCCAGTTAGACTAATTTCTCTTCTCCTTGCAGTTTTGGTGCCCACTGGAATAGGAAAATGCAACTAAGTAAAATTTTCTTTGCTCTGTTTCTTTTCTTTGCACCACAATAAAACCTGAAAGCGTTCTGAAGGAGTGACAGAAAAGAAATTCAGGCTGTTGCAGCTCTGTATGGAATTATGTCTCATGACAGATTGAACATTTGAAGAATTTAGATGTCTGATTCACACAGGGCTGTATTGAGTTTGTGTGAAATTTATTTTTTCAAAAGCTTGGGCATAACCAGGTTTGGATAGCTAGTAGAATATTCCTTGACATCACCATGGTACACTCGCAAATCCTACCTTGTCTGTCTTCATTGGAAGGCACACTGGGGATATAGGCTTTCTACAAATTATTGTGGAGGTTAATAAACAAACATTTGTTTCAGCTGCATTTGAGAAAAGTTTGAAATGATTTGCTGAATTAAAAGCAAGCAGCCACAAAACCAGTCATCTAATATGAAGAATTTCAGCTTAAATATGCAGAAAGTTTCAAGTGGCTGAATACAGGATCTTATATGGAAAGTAGTGGCCAATGTTTAAGTATAGATTTTACTACAGGTGCCATATATGGTATGTTGGCAGTGAGGTTCACAAACAGGCAGTAGTGCTAATGAATATGGAGAAATTTTGATGAAGTCCCAGCAATATTCTAATAGAGAATGTTTATGCTTTAAAGTAGAAATGAAGATTCATTCAGATTAGAGAACCTAATTATTTTTGGTGCTATCTGTAGTAATTGCTTTTTTGTTTCACACTGTTATTACGGTAGTTATCAAACATACCTGTTTCCATTCACAGAAATGCATTGATGACACAGACGCTTCCCTAGCATGGACTTGGTTCTCCCTCATCTTTCTATGGTGTATAGATCTGTTTGGAACATTATTTTCTTCATGTGCCACTTACCTGTCTATAATACTTCAAATCATAGCCTGTGGAACTAAGTCTCCCACACATCATATTAATTTGATTGCAGGGTTTTAATGCATTAGCATAGACTCCTTTTGGGCAAATTTTACAATAGTGTTAGATCTACTTGTGTTCACTGCAGTCTGGTTTCTCATCTTGCTGCCATGCTTTGCTACCTTCCTGAAAGGGCTGCAGAATTAAGTTAAAAGCAGCTCTATCTTCCATGATAAATTAAATTATTCTCTAGAGTGAATAGATGTTATTACATCAAAAATTGCTCCCAGGATTTTTGTGCACTGTAGGCAAACAAAGCTTGTGGTTAAGTACTGCTTATTTCAGTTCATCTTGAGTGTAATCTATCTTTTCCTCCTTTGTGGGAGCACCTATTTCTTGAATTCTCATTTGATTGTTGTTTATTGCTAGAGAGAAGTTTCAAAATGAGATATTTGACATATTAACTAGAATAAGAGTGTATTTTAATGTATGATTTACTGTGAAATATAATAAGGTTTATCTCACTGTTTTGTTTCTTCTGCTGTTGTTTGCCATAAGCAGAGTTTATTACAAAGTCCACAACAAATAAAGCTACTCTGGTTTAATCTGCCTTGGAATTAATAATGGCTCATATATTAGTAAGTTGAAATTATTTTATTTGTTAAAAAATATGTATTAATGAAATTATCTAGGGATCATAATGTAATCAAGCTTGCAAAGAAAATTGCATAGATAGATTAGTCTACAGCTGAAAGAAAATGTTTAGCTTGTCTTTACCAAGCAGTGTTAGCATCCAGAATTTTAAAATTTCTGTAATTATGCCATCAGGCCAATTTATGGTTTCACCCACACCCATGTGATAACAACACACATCTTCTTCTCCTGTGCTAGTTTTTTGTTTCAACATTACTAGCATTTGTCTCCTGTAATTCCTGTCAGCTTTTTCTCCCATTCTCAATTTTCTCCATTTCCCATTAATACAAGTCTTAAGCCTGCATCCATGTAGTCTCTGTCTTTTTATCTCTGGTGACAGTCTTGCTTTATCTGATTTTCCTCTGGCTCCAGCTTCTTTCACAATTTAATTTCAAATCTTCTTTCTTCAGCATATCCCTGTCTAGTTTTATGTTCCCTCCTTTTCCCCTTTATCTTCAGATAGCCTCATTCATAAACACATTTTTTTTATCTCTAGGCACATGATTCATGTTCATGATATCCTTGATGCAATACTGTTTCCTTCTGTTCAAACTAAAACTGTCTCTAGTATCTCTGTGAATATCTTACGATGAACTCAGACTCAGCGTGCTCTTAGTCTCCTTTCTCCCATGCCAGCCACTCAGAGCTACTTCTGTTCCTAATCACTGCATGTGATACCATCATCCTATCACTGAGCCTCATGGGCAGTTTTGACTTCATATGTCTTTACATCCAGTCTCTGTATATATACTGACAGTGTTTTCTGTATGATATGGGCATACGTTCATATGTGTATGTATAGGGTTTTTTTTTTGTTTTGTTAATTGTCTGTTGTTATCCACAAACCTGAAGTTCTTGTGTAGTTTCACCATCCCCTGACATGACTGTTACAGTATCCCGTTTTCTGATTTGATGAATACAAGGTTTTTGCCTTGACAAACACCAAAATCCAGGGCGCTACTGCAAACGCACTTTGTGATTTTTTTTTCTTTATTTTTTTTTTTAATTATGTTACCCTTCCAAAACACCAAACAAGCTACTTATTTTAATTTTTAAGGCTCTTAAGGATCTCTGCCTGCACATCCTATTATCTTTCATTCACAGTAAAGATAAGCGGTAGCAAAGATGGTGACATGCCTCCATTACTTACTTCCAGATTTTTAAAGAAAGGAACTTCATGCTTTATTTCAGACTGTTCCTTATATTGGGAGGGAGATATCTGTAACCATCCAAAACCTCATTGTTTTTTTTTAAACCTCTGTTTGGAAACATAACTGGAAAAGTGTCATCATTATCTGTAGGAGTTGACAATAATCTTTATTTGACTTCTAAACCTTCAAATACAGTCTGTTACAACTCATTATTATTTAAGGTTTAAATGGAAGGCATGCTTAACAACAAGGAGCAGAGTTAAGTGCCAGTCTGTACAGAACTACACAAAGATGGAGATAGTACTGCCTATGGAAAATACTATCTTCTAATACAAGAAACCATACGTGAATGATAGGAAGTCTTAGTTATGCATGTGCCATGTTACATATTGCTGGCTTCTGATTTTGAATTACTGAAAAAAATAGTTTCAACACTGCACTTTGGCTGTTATTAGTTGTTTCTTATGGACAGGTTTGGAGGGAGGATTTTTTGATGTCAGTTTGTTATTTTTTTCCTGAGAAGTTATGATGTCTCCTTTGACTTTTCCCCTGAAAGAGTGGTCAAGGCAGAAAGCGTAAAATGAGAAAGCCTTTCTTGAAGATCATCCCAACTAATTCCATGAAGGTTTCAAGCCATACTTCTGTATTAAATGATCCCCCAGGGTTTTGCTGTTATACTTGTCAGATCCTAAGGCATCTCCGTGTCGTTTTCAGGGATGTTGTTCATCTTTGTACTCCGCATTTTAATGTCAGACTCCATGGTGTTTCATCACCATTAAAACCATGCTACCAGGGAGCCCATTCAGCTGTAGCTGCTCCTATCTAAATACAGTTTTGAAAAATGCAGGTTTTTAATATTACGAGCTTCTCAGAAAGTAATATTTAAAGAACAGGAAGAGGAGTGCCAAGTGAGCAATTTGGTTATTCAACACTGTATTTTTCATTGCATTTTGGAGTGCCACATGTGAACTGTGTGTTTACAAATTTGAGGAGCAAGCAGTTTTCAGCCCACTTCACTGTTTTTTTCCCCAGTGGGATTTTCAATAGCATGATTTTTCACTCTTGGATTAGATTATCTAAAATGACCTTCAGTTGGTTGGCAGCAGCCAGATGACAGTATGACTGATTTTGAAAGTAAAAAAATAAGACGTGAAGGAGACATATTGTAGTTTATCCACCAAAGATATGGTGGAATCTAAGAAATTGCTTCTGTAGGTATTAATGTT